GTCCGTCTCGCGCTGGGCTCACTTCTCATGGCCCAGGCTCCCAGGGGCGGCCGGCGTCTCCACTCGTTGCTGGGTGTCCGCGGTGCGTGCCTTTCCTGTGACGTCCTCCCGACCTGTTCCTCCCGCGCCTCCAGCAGCCTCAGCCGCACGCCCTCGAGGGGCGACTTCTCAGGGACCTCCCCCGTTGCACCTGACTTCCTGCCCATCAGGCTGAAGCCCCTCAGGCCCTCAGGCCCCGCTGTCTCCCACGCGCCCGGCGCCGTGTGGGCAGCCAGGCCACAGTGGCCACCTGCCCGGCCTCCAGGGCGTCTGTAACCGGAACCCACCTCCACCGGTTCCAAAGCAGTGCGCACGGAGGGAACCCCGCGTGAAGCCCAGGGAGCAGCTGGCCTCGCTTGCCGGCGTCCCCCCAGAGCGGTGCTGTGCGCTCTGCGAGCTCTGGGGGCCGCTGGGGTTGTCTGAATTGTTTTACTTTCAGATCGCCCCCGGCCTGGGGGACCTCTTCCCGCTGAAGACCGTCTGCCCCAGCAGACGGACCCCGTCTGCAGCCCCCGCAGCCCTGCTGCCCTGACTCTCACGCGCGCGCGGGAGCTTCGTCTCCCTGCTCTGTTCTTCCAATAAGAGAAAGTTAATTTGTGCCAAATGTCCTTTCATATCCAACAAAGCCTGCAGGGCTGAGAAAGGCAGATAAGTCCCGCTTCCCTGCCAGGAGCCCCGCTAATTGAGGCCGCAGCTTCACACTCGGGTATTTGCATCCGGGCCCGCCTCGCCTCTTGGTATCTCCTGTTTGCACACATGTAAACACCGCGGGGACGGGCCGCCCACCTGGGACGAAGGGGGAGCCGCGCATTTGCAGAAATGAGGCTGATTAGTGCTTCATTACGGTTACCCACGGCTTCTGCCTGCTCCTCCCTCCCCCGGGCCGAACGTTTGGAAGATTAATTGGATGTCGGAAATCAGCGGGGAGAAAGCAGAGGCTGATAGGCATCTCACCGCGGCTCCAGCGTCCAGCCCCGCGGCTGAGGGTGGAAGAGGGACCGGGACCAGCCCCGGTGGCCTCTGCCCGAGGCTGGGATTCCCACCTGCGTCCGGGGTACCCTGAGCCCCAGGGGCCCTCATTTCCACCCGGGGTCACTGCGAGGGTGGAACCACGTGACGCTGGAGAACTGTGCTGCGTGCGGCCTTCCAGTCAGGGCTGACTACTCATCATTTTCAAGATAGTTCTCCGTGAGCCGGTGTTTGGCGTCACAGCGGTGATGACCCCGACTCTTCCCACCCCTCACCTTGGAGAAGGACGGGCGGGGAGGACCCGCTGGGAAACCTGAGTACTTCATGCGTCCATTTCCCTCGCCTGCTGGGGTGAGAGACGCAGGCGGACTCTCAGCTTCCTAAGTCCAGGTGTGTGACAGGCGCCTGGAGGCCCCAGAGCACAGGGTGGCCGTGTCGTTACTGTCCAGGTCGGGACACTTTCGCAGGGAAAGAGACGCTCTTACCCACAAGGCCGGGGCCGCAGGCGCTACCAGGGACGCCTGTTCTCCTCCAAGACCCAGCGGCCGCCCGCGTGTTCGCGGCTGTTGTCTCCGGTCCAAAAGCCGCTGAGCGAGCCCAGGGCAGGGGCCGGGCACTTTGCTCCCATGGCCGCCCCTGCCCTGGGGAGTGTCGCACAGGCGTGGAGTGGTGACGGGGACATGGAGGAGAGGCTGGGCAGGTGGAGGGTGACCAGAGGGCTTCAACCTCGGTCCAGAGCGAGAGCTGTCGGCTGCCGGCTCTCGGCCCTCGGCCCCCGAGCGTGCGCCTGTCCCGGCTCCGAGGGCACACAGGCTGCACCGTGGCGGTTTCCTCGTTTGTTCATTGTTGCGCAGTACGTTTTCGGTCCCGTCCCTGCTTCTGGAGCAGCGTGGGCTGAGCCCCCCCAGGCAGCACGCGCTGGTTTGTCCCAGACCCAGCCTGTAGAGTTGGCTGTGACAGCCGCGTCCCTGCGGCCCCCGTGCGCCCAGCCCGGCGGCAGCGGGCACTCCTGCTGTCACACAGCCTCCTGCTCAAGCCCCTGCTGCTGCCCGCCGCCCGTCTCCCGCCGCTCAGGGCTTTGCTCAGAGTCCACAGAACCCGTGCCGGAGGGAGGCCTGGCCCGCGGGGTTCGTGGGTTGTGGCAGGTTTTTAAACATAGTGGTGATGAGCTACCCACCAGAGAGGACGCTCTAGTCCTAACGAGCGAGCGCTGGTGAGTCTGCTGGGCGTCTGGGGCAACGACGCTGTTCCCTCTGGGGCCCAAGGGCCCGGCTCTGGGCAGAGGTGTGAGCCTGAGCCACCTGCTGGGGGCCGCACGGCGATGCTCCGTTGTGACTTTCCCCTAAGTAGCACCTGACCCCTGTGGGTCTCACTCCTGTCGTGTGGGAAAGCGGGGGGCGCGGGTCTGTCACCTCGACGGTCCTTCCTTCTGGTGAGGAGGCAGGGCTGTGGCGGGATGGGTGGTTTACGAAGGAACAGAATTCGGGCTCGTTGGCTTTCGCTCAGTGCATAGCGAGAAAGAGGAGGAGAAACAAGCCAGGTCACAGTGGCCCTGACCCATGTAAGTGACACGGGGTTCAGCCTCACAGCAGGGCCTCCGAGGCCCACAGGGAAGTTCAAGGTCACACGGTCTTCCCGGAACACGAGGCAATACTGCTTCCCACTAAGTTGCCCCGAGTCCACTCTCTTGGACAATTTCCAGGGCATATTTCCCCACGAGTGAGCTAATTATTCTGAGGATGGAAGTGATATGACTTGTGGCCAGAATGTTTTCAGGAGAATGAGCCAATTTTCTCAGTCAAAGGTGCTCTGGCTGGGCGGGCGGTGGCTTCCTGGGCCAGGCAGACACCAGGGGACAGACACTGAGGAGCAGAGGGCCCATCCCTGCTCAGTGTCCATCCCAGGACCGGCTGTGGCTCCCGGCTGGACACACCCCACAGACCACGTGAGCAGGTGGCTCCCCACGGGCTGGGGATGCTGCGCCTTTGTCCCGAGTGGTGGGGGGTGCCCTGGCCTCAGGGCTGGCGGGGGTGTATCCCACGAGCTGGTGCCCTGGAGGTGCCCCTCAACCAAAGGTGGATGGAGATGGTGGGGTCCCCACTCCCACCCCCCATAAAGGCAAACACACGTCTCTTTGCAGCCCTGGTGACCCCCGCAGGGTCCACTCGTGCAGGTGGCCTTCCCTTCCTCGCCCAGGGTTGGTGGTTCTGGAATCACTCCCAAGCAAATGTGTCCAGTGGCGCTAAGAGGCCACCGCCTGGGCACTGAGGTCCCACCACCAAGGGTGACGAGACCTTTACGTCTTTTAAAATTTTCCAGTTAAAATTCTATGTTATGGGTCTTTTTCTGAATGTTTACAGTTGCAAGTGGTCTCTTCTACCCAAGAGCATGGTTGGTAACACTGGCCCGTGTGTCGCTCCTTTTCTGTGCAAGGTGCCTGGAGGAGCGGCAACATCTTTGTGTCGGGGTCACCAACACGAGAGCCGTGGGCAGAGACGATGGCCTCTCAGCGGGACTCACCCTCCGCAGACACGCGGCCAGAGGGCTGTGCTCAGGGCCCCTGGGAGTGATCGCTTCCTCTGAGCGGCAATGTTTCCGTCTGTCGCAGGCTTGTCTCAGGTGGCGGCATTTGCGATTCACTCACTTTTACTGTTTTTTAACTTTTTAGAACATGTAAGACACTGACATCGCTCAAATGTTAAAATTGCATGAATGTGCACTGCACGGTCAAAATCCCGCCCTCTGTCCCCCTCGGCTCCTTCTGCTGTTTTATCAGAATATCCACGAATAGTTACCAAGAGAATGCATGCCTGGTGTGTCCTCCCAGCGTTTCTAAAACAAAACAAGATGATTCATGGATTCACATACAGGGACATTTTCACGTTTCCCTTTCCATTTTATGCAAAATACTGTGTCCTATTTACATTCCCTCCGACCTGGTTTTCGTTCCTTTTTTTAACTTCACAGTAAATCCTGAGAATTGCTCTTCATCCCATGTGCTCTATGTACACGCCCTCGGCTGCCGAATTTTAATATTTGTAACAACCTAGTGGTGACCTAGCGCGGCTCCACCAGGGCTCGTTCGGGAAATCGTCCACATGTGGTTCATCGGGTCGTCCCCCACCTCTTGTGCTGTGAAGCCACACACAACAGGTTATGATCGCTGCACCACAAGTCAAGCCCGGACGCCCACATAGCACGCCCCGTCCGTGCAGGTGTGCCCTCAGAGCGCACTCCTCCGGGCGCCGCGGAGACAAAGGCCACGATTCAGACAGCGCCAACCTCTCTGCTCGCTTGGGTCGCCGTGACTTTGGGTCCCAGAACACTTCTGTCTGGTTAAGTGTTTACATGGCAGAGGATGCGGAAGCAAAGAGTGGACAGGAAACTGCTCTGATCTGGGGGGTCCCTCTGCCCTGTGCCAGTCCCCGAGGCCAGGACGGCACCAGAACCAGACACCCACCTTCCTGGAGAACTGCCACCTCCTTAGCACCAATGCCAGGTGTGGTCCCAGGGGACCCCCAGGGAGAACAGAGGCTCCTCTGCCCAGGAAACGCCAAGGGCCCAGGGTGAACTCCCAGGACGGGACAGAGGCACTGCTCCCCTTTGGTCAGGTTAATTCCTCCCTCCATGGTCAGTGGCAAACAGAATTGCAAAGACGCCCAGACACAGCCACGCTGTGCGCGGTCGGCTCTTGTGGAAAACGGGGGACGTTGCTACGCCTCACTTTCTGGCCAACATTTTGTTAACCAAAGACTCAACAGCTCAGAAAAACCAAGGATGAAATGAGTAACCATCCCTCGGTCATTTGCTTAAATATGAACTTCTAAGCAGGCTCATTCCCCAGGCCTGGCCGGTTAAACACTGCGTTTCGAGGGAGGGGGGTGTCCACCTAGAGGTGCAGGTTCTCCTCCTGAAGAAGCCCTGCATCACGCCAAGCTCCATAAAAGCTCCTAATACAGCATCAAATTGCAATAGTTTTTGGATAATTTCCCTCCGACGCTTTGTTCACAGGATGATCCCTGCACCTTAATTGCCTCACCAGTGACGGGTACCAGGTGCAGAGTTTCGGTCGGCCAGCGGCTAGTTGTGGGGAGGAGTGGGTGGGACACTTTCTGGGGAAAAGTGAGAGCTGGGTGGGGAGTTCATTTGATTCTCCAAAGGTGTCAGCTTCGCAACATTTTTGAAAATCTCAGCTCAGGCTAAAGCAAGTTGCAGTGCTGTGATTATGTGACTCAAGGGTTTATAACCAAACTGAAGAGCCTCCAGGAGCGTTCCTGCACACACACCCCCGGAGAAGCAGAACCCACCTTTGCGATCACCCCTAAAGGAGCCTCGGAAATCCCCCCCTTTTTGCGAGGGGGCACCTGGATGTGGGAGAAGACCAGGCGTGCAGAAGGCTGCGCTAAAGAACAGAACCTGCGGCTTGACAAACGCCGAGGGGAATGAAAGAACCGCGTAAACTGCCGGGCGTGGGACCTTCTCCCTTACTCGTGGCCTCTTTTAAGGGGTGAGGGTTCCACTGCCTGGGGCAGTCGCCGCCTCTGTCCACGGCCTGAGGATAAAGCAAAAACAGACTGCAGCTGTGGGAAGGTCCCCGTGAAGGCCTGAAGCCCTGCTGGTGCTGGCAGTGTTTGGGGGGAAGGTGGTCTCCTGGGGCGGTAGTCATCGGGGCGAAAAAGACGGAGACTGGAATATGTCGGAATTTCAAAGCATCCCGTGAATGAAGGGTGTTCTGCACTTCAGTTCTTTTGCAGGCGAGGGGATAAATGTCCACAAGGCGATATTGCGACAAAATGTGTTACAGCTCAGTGTCACAACTCAGATGTGACAGCAACCTGAACGCCTTCAAAAAGCCAAGCAACACTT